GAGAGAGAGAGAGAGAGAGAGAGAGAGAGAGAGAGAGAGATAACCTGCATGTAAGAAAGACAGGGATGGTGGGGGGTGGGGGTGGATGAATTGTGTTTGTGAGAGGGAGAGAGAGATTTGAACTACCTCTGGTCATCCTGTCCTTTGCAGGACAAGCATAACAAAAATATACCTCTCAGTTAAAATACCGAAGTTAAAACATGTGCTTTGCACAATTTCGGTAAGACACAGTGGAATGATTTCAGGGAAAACCACTGGTTTCCCTCGCTAGCAATCCTGTGTGCCAGCTACCCAGAGGCTTGGCCCGCTGCAGAAGTGCCCAGGTGCTCGGGCGCATGGCAGCTGCCTGGAGCAGGTGTATTTCCCGGCAGGAAGCGTTCCCGGCACACGAAGCCAAGCGTGGAGCTTCCCACCCCTGCGCTCCTGCCACATCCTCAGCAGCTCTCCCCTCCCCAGCCTGAGAAGCTGAAACAAGCTACAACAGCCCATCCAAAAACATTCGTTTTATTGCAGAAAAAATAGATTTCCATATACAGTTGACTTTAATCATCTTAAAAACAGGCACTTTTGTTGCTAGTATATATGTGTGTATATAATATTTGAAATACAGTGTTAGTACAAGTGAAACATAGAGGCTATTGATACTGATACATTACTATACCTGTTGATATTTGTTTAACACACAGTCCCTTCCGGGTAAGGCAGTTTTGTGGTTCTAATAACACCATGGCTGCAATTTAGCGATATAACCTGACGGACAGCAAGTGTCCTCAGAAAGAAATTTCTTTGGGGCGTGGCAGAAATCCAGCCCAGTGCAGATAGGCGAATTGGTTCACAGGTGTGCCCCCAAAAGGGACACCTGCTTCATACCCTTTTAAAACTAGACTTCTGCAGAGATGCCTGGTGCATTGTCAACAGAGGACATTCCTGCAGTGGTAGTGCAGTGTACAGGTATGTCACACCTGTGCTACCTGGTATTGGATTAAGCCTATTGTGCTTGACATATGTGGGGCCAATTTTCCCCAATTTTAGAAATAAACATCTTGAAGATCTCTGCTTAAAATTGGAATGCAAGTGATTATTGGGGTGGCTAGCAGAATTTTAGCAGGTGCAATGAAAGCTGGTTTGGCCCCAGGGCAGCCAGAGAAGCATATACAAGGGGTTCAGGAAAGGTTGCGTGTGAGGTTTACAACACTGAGACTGTGGCATTAAACTCTTAATTGGAGGCAGCCATGATTGTCCTCAATTTCTGGACAATCTAAGGACATCCCCAGGAGAGGAAATATTCTTGGCACCCAGCTGACATGCCACATTGGCAGTGAACCATCGGATTTTAATAGCACACAAGTACCGCTGTTCCATGGCCTCTCAAGCACTTTGTTTGGAAGGTCACTTTGCAGATTTAACCCAAGAAAAGAGGGAATAAGAGAGGCAAAGGGGATGTAAATTTCAAGCAGACTCCTGTGGGAGTGTAAGATTTAATGAAAAGTTGCCTCTCCTTGACCTCTGCTGTTGTCCTAAACCCTTTCTTCCAGATTTGTCTTATTATGAGCATGGTGAGCATTAATGGAAACCTTCCCCCGTACCTTAAATTATTTTGCCTGCGGGATTTATCTACAGCAACAGCCAGGTCACGCTTATGGCAAGTGCCCAGCACCACAACTTGAGTGCTGCCATGCAGGGCACCACAATTGTGCCACTCCACAACACGGGGCATGTGGGTCAGCTTCATATCAGTGCTTATCTAATGTGCAACTGACCTTCCATGTGTGGATTTTGCTGGTCAGGTCATCTGCGAGTACCAACGGAGGGTGAAGTTACATTATTTACATCCCTTGTGACAGCTGTTTTAGGAGTAACAGCATGCTTGCCTTTCCGGGCCCAACTGCAGCCGTATTTCTCTGGCTCCAAATACTGAAGTCCCTGCGCTCACCCAAAGGGAGCTAGGACCTTTCCCAAGCAGCAGAATGAATTGCAATGGAAAAACCTGCCCTGCAAACCTCAAGTGAGAGGCATGTTTCATTGAAAAACTGATCCATCTGATTAGAACTAGACCGTCACCCAGGGTATTTTATCTGTAAGTCCTTTTGTTTCTTGGCTTACTTTTGTAGGTATCTCTCCAGATACTCATGAATCCACTTTAACTTGGGATCAATGCAGATCTGCTTGCTGCTATTTTTCAGTCTTGCACTGCCAAAAAGAGAAAAACAAGAGAGAGAAGACTCGTTGAAGAGAGAATAAAGGACTGAGGAGGGAGCACTGCCGAACTGTTCAGTTCTTCTGTGAAGAAATCCAGTAAAGGGTGCCTGGTCCTGATTGCATCACACAGTGAAGGAAGCGTCCGATTTTGGCAGGTCATGCCTGCACTCACTAGGCTTCTGTATTATCTTTGGATCAAGCCCGGCTCCAAGGTAAATCTGCCCCCTGTGAAGATACCTGGACTGCTTCTGAAGTAAAAGGACTGGGGCCACACCAAAACAGGCTGACCCCCAAGCTCTGTACTTGTTTCTGAACTCCCTTTAAAAATAGATGCGTGTGTGTCAAATTTCAAAATTCCCCCATTCCCTGAAACTCCTCCAAAACTGAAAACGTTAGATGGTTGGGTGGTGGAGTAGGAGGAGGAGGAATATCATTTCATATCCAACAACTCTGGTTCCATATCAGGGAAGGACTCTTCAAACATGAGACTTTCGGGAGGACATCACAGGCACATACCAGAAGCTGTTTTCTGCTCTTTGGGATGGTGTGTGTCCAAAAGAGGCACCAGGCAGGGTCTTTGTGGTTCCTAAAACCATTTGAGAAATGGGACATGGTCTGCTTCCCCACTACTCTTAAACAGAGCCACAGAGCAGATCTAAACTGCTCTGCTCTGAAAAGGGAGGCTGAGGGCCCCACATTGCCCCTGTGCCTGAGATGAGAAAGGGCTGGCACTCTGAGCACTTGTGATGATGTCAGGTTTTCTTAGCCAGAGGAGTCTGCAAATGAGCTCACAGAATGCAACACTCAAACAATGCAACACATTGGAACAGCAGTATCAGAACTACTAACACAAAATCTGTATCCTGAACATTCCTTTCCTTATGTCCAAAAGCAAAAACCAACCAGCAGGAATGCCTGAAGAGGGCAGCAATAAATTTAAACCTTATCAGGCTTCCCAGGCGGCAGGGATGGGCAGGCAGCAGATAAGGGTGGTTGTCCTGGCTGGAATAGCCATCCTCCTCCCAGAGCGGGGCCTCCAGAGCGGCAGCCCTGGCAAGGGCTACGTCTCCAAGGAGCAGTGTGGGTAGGATTGCCAAAAAGAGGGACTGCATCACCCAGAGAGAGGGCAAACATGGCACTGATTTGCACAACTTCCTGTACGGATAGAGGCAGAAGTCTATTTTGCAAATTTCAGAGTAACGGCCTGTCACCAGTATGGCCACTGGGTTCCTGTAGAGCAGAAAAGGAGTGGTTTGGCGGAAGCTGGTGGGGCTCTGCTGAACTGCCCCATTTGGGAAAGAAACACGTTCCCCGGGGTCTGTTGCAGTGGCTGGCTCCACACTGTCACAGCGTCATAATGGCAAACACATTATGCATATAACAGTTGTACAACACCGCGCCCCCCCCGGGGCGGCACTGTTCACACATAAATGGCTATTGCGCAATTAACTCTCTTACCTCCCACGTTCACACGTTTGGGGGGCAACTACTCACAAGGAGCCCCAGTGTGCCTCCGCCTTCACCCCAAGTGGTGGCACGCGTCCCATCAGCCTCTGCAGCCGGGAGCCAAGCCAAGGGCACGCCAGTCCCGCCAGCACTGCCCTCCTCTCCCAGTGGCCCATGGGCTCCCCTGGGCACGTTCTCGGCCAGCTGCTGCTCCTGCCCTCCAGAGTACCCACCTGCTCGTCAGAGCGGCGTGGCTGCCCCACGACTGCCACTCCCTGCCCTCTGACGCCTGCCCAGATCGCTCACCTTGCCTGCTGCCTGGTGGTCCACTGAGGTGCCCGTCTCGCTTGCCTGCTCTCCGTCCCCTGCCCCCGCACCCGTAAGGCCTGCCTTCTGTGCACACACGCCGCACCGTCTCCCTGCCCGGCTATTCCAGAGCAAGCCGACCGTGCGGAGTTTTGCCCCTTTTCTGGAGGGAGGGAGGGAGGTGGAAAAGGAGCCCTTCCTTGCACAGTTTCTGCCCTGGCCAGAATTTGGCTTTCTCCTCTGCGAGGGTGGGGAACTTACTTAAATGGCTAAACAAATTAAATAAGGTGCATTAGATACAGTTTAAAGCTCATTAAATAAATAAACTCATTTAAACGTATTTCCTCTTAGGAATGTTAATGGGTGTTTGGGGAGACTCTCCTGGCGGCGCGTCTGGTGCTCCCTTGGACGCCAAGGTCACGCCGTGGAATGCGGCGATGGCCAGGCAGGAGGCGCAGCTGCCTGCGAACGCCCGTCCCCCGGAGCAGGGCCTGCCCACACCGTGCCAAGCGCCTGAGCTGAGGGCAGCGGGGCGAGCGGGAGGAGGAGTGGAATGTGGGCGCAGGAGCAATCCGAGCCCCTCGGCCCGCTGCGGCGGCAGGATGCCGGCACCACGGCAGTTCTTTCCTGCCACCATGGCATCCTCGCAGTGTTGTCCAGCCGGCCGGCTTTCCGCACGGTTCCTGGATGGCTACAATGGGGAGAGAAATGGAGGAGCCCCGGGGCAAGTTTTCATGGCCTCTGAAAGCTGGAGTTGCTCAGGCAGGGCAGGGGGCACACTGATGCTGCGGTTCACGCAGCCCCGTTGGCAGCGTTGCGCAGACTGCCGGCTGGTCCACTCCCGCGGGATGGGGCACTGCTGCCCAGCCCCCCACGAGCATGGGCAAAAGGGTCTGCCCGTGCCTCCCCAGCCACCTGCTTCCTGAACTTCCGTCATATAAGGAGGGCACAGGAGGCTGCAAAAGGGAGAGGAGACAGCACTGGGCTCCCGTCTCCGAGCAAAGCCAGGTGCCGGTAGGTTGTACCTCCGACCGCAGCCCCAGCCCTTTCCCCTCTGGCTCCTCCCTCCCTCGGAGATCTGATTTGTGGGGTGCGTGTGCCATGGCCCCATGCGTTGCTCAGCCTGGGCTCGCTTTGTGGCAGCCACAGAACTGAAAGGACAGATTGGGTCTGGCTTGCTTTTCAACAGCGCCAGGACAACATTTAATAGGACAGACATGCGTGGGCACCCTGTTTTGGACTGGGAGCCAAAATCCTGGCTGAAGCTGCCTGATCTGCAGCAGCACCGCATCCTGCAAGGTAAAAACCGGATTCCCTTTAGCTTTCCCTTGCAGCCTCAGAAAATCTGCTCAGAGTAATTGTTTGCTCCTCTGTTCTTTCAGTGGCTGGGGTGGGAAGGCGAGCAGAGCGGTGTTTCTGGAAAGGCCGGGATTGTATGTGCTCATGCCCTGCACATGCACAAGAGCGTTCCACTCTCATGGTGTCTTCAGACAAGGCGTTCGCCTGCCCCATGTGTAGGTTTCTACAGGCGGCCCAGATTAGGTGGGGACCGATTAGCGCAAACAGCAGCGCTGCCCCCCCATGAGAGATGGCGCTGGACTGGCGCCCCCTCTAACGCCCTTCTCTTCCATCTTTCTGGCCTGGCACAACTTTGTCTTGGCTGCAGCTGCATCACTGCCTTGCTACCAGTCCGCCTGCCGGCACTGTTGACTTCATCAAGCCGAGGGTACATGCCTGAATACTTCACCCCCCCACCACCTTCAAAAAAAAAAAAAACAAACACACGGAGCAAAGACTAATTTCCCAGAGGGCCCTCCTCTGGCCACCTCCTGCCACCCACATCCTGGCCCTGGACTCCGGAGAGTCCCACTGCTGCTGCTGCTCCAGGAGGAAGGCGTGGAGGTGAATTTCCAAACCATTCAGATTCAAGCCCTCTGGTTCCAGGGAAACAGCTCCAAGTCGTAGCCCAGGGGCCCTCCTGATTGGAAGCCTGATAGCTGCCTCAAACTAATCCCCTAATCTCTCCAAAGGGACAGTTTTACAAGTTTTGTTTTGTTTTGGAGCCCCGCGGTTGCTCTCACACTCTTCTGTGTGCGAGAAAGAAAAGAACCGCAGACTCAACATCGTTTCTGCTGTGAAAAAGCGAGCAAAGAGACAACGCATCTGCAGGCAACGGCAAGAAGTCATACAAATGTGAGGGTGCACGCGATTGTTCTCTAGCTCCACTGTCCTGGGCACCATCTTTAAAAAGAACATTCTTTTGGCATCTCTGCCTCGAGTAGCCCTCCTAAATTCCACTTTAATGGGGACTCCTGCACTACCGGAAGGCGATCTCCGTGAACGGCTCCTGACGGTGCTGCTGTGCGCCGGATGCACCCAGCAGACGTACCATCAGCCACTGCCAGGGTGCGGTGGTCCGAGGAACGGCTCCACAGTGGGCACACTTCCCATCACTCCGGGACCGTCTCTGGGCTTCGCAACACATGTGCACATGAACTAACCGCATTTATACGAATGCACCAATCTCTCGCTGAAAATGCAAATTCCAAAACAATCATGTGTTTCTCCTCCCAGGGAAATGGGGGCTGGAAGAAGGATGCTCAGCTGGAGCACGCGTGGAGATGGCTGAAGAATTGCATCCTGGCTGTGCTGCGATAGGCAGCGTCCACGCTGTGTGGTGCTGCCTAGATGGCCAACAGAGAACTCTCGCTTAAGTGAACTTAGCACTTGACTGGTTTAAAAATCTAATTATTTATTAGATTTATTGGCTGCCCAATTAGCTATACGTCTCTCTGGAGACTTACAGTACATTGAGTTGGCTTGGCTGGTTTTCCCTCCAACAAAAGCAAAAAAGGGGGATTTATTTATTATATTTATATCACACCTTTTTTCCTGGAAGGATCCCCAGTTGCTCATATCACCGTCCTTTTCTTCACTGTATCCTCACAACAGCCCTACGAGGTCAGTTCGGCTGCAAGTCCGCGGCTGGCCTGAAGTCACCCAGTGAACTTCTTGGCCCAGTGGGGACCAGGCTCGGGACCGCCCAAGTCCCAACCCAGCACTGACCGCTGTGCCACAAGGGCTCCCAGAGCAGTTGCGGCAGAGGGAGGAGGACGCAGGCCAAGCGCCTCTCCGCCCGTCTCCACAGCCAGCCCTTCCCAGAAAAATCATGGTGCTGCCGCACGAAACAGACCTTTCCTGCAGCATCCCGGGGCCTTGGAAGCGCGACTGTGCCCGCGGGCAAAGCAGGCAGGGGCTCAATCGATCGCGCAGCCTCTCCTGCTGGGGCCCAAGCTTGGCTGCCCACGTGCCCCTGCCAGCTCCCCACCCTGTGCCAGCGTGCCTCGCCTTGCCAGGGGCAGGTGCCCGACCTCCCCACCCCTGTGTGCCCTCCACTGCCGCACCCTGGTTGTGCAGGCATGTGTCGGCACATTAGCACATGCCGCCCGTTTGCATCAGTGCATCAGGGGCTCCGAGAGCCACTGGCCTGGGTGGGGGGTGGGGGCGGGTTAGCTTGGGACTGTCTCAGCCCCCCCCCCCATCCTGGTTTTAGCACTGTTTGAGGTGTTGTCCACTTACTGTACGTTGCAGAACTGAGGGGGCGGCCGGAGCTTCTGAGCACCTCCAAACATCTCTGGGGATCCAGCTTGGAATGGGGGGGTTGAGGAGGTGTTCCCCAAAATGTAGCTTTGGGGAACACATCCCCCCATTTTTCTAAACCAGTAGAGTGTGGAAAGCACAGTTTGCAGCTGAATCCTTGCAGGTTTGGGATGGCCTCCTCCTGCCAAAATAGGGGTGGCCCAGGGGATGTCTCAGGGGCCCTGCCGTGTCCTGAGAGGAGGGGGCAAACGGCACAGCTGCCCCGCCTGTTAACAAGCTGTGCAAACCCAGCCAGTGGGAGGTTTTTAAGGAGGGCTTTGTGGCACGCCATGTACGTTTGGCTCAGCACTTCTTCCTTCCTCTGGTGTGTGGCTTAAGAAAGCAGCTTTCTTGTCCAGAGTGTGCCTGTCTGGCTTTGAAAAGGCCTTGATGGCCTCTGTGTGGACCATGCAGACACGGTGAACGGCTGCACATGATCTTGTACAGGATTCCACATCCTCATATATTTGTTTGTAGATTGTGCCCAAACCAAATAACATATTTTCAGCAATAAATCTAACCATTTGAATATGCAGTAAGCACAATTACAGATAACCGTAATATCAGTAAGAACAAAGCAGAAATCTTAATAAATCCATACAACTGTGCATAAAACCATGCAAATGAACTGAGTGCAACATTGTAACAGTAAAATGAGGGAGACGGAAAAAGAAAGAGAATAAAGGCTAGGGCAAGAGGAAGAACACAGTGCAGATAAGGGCAGGTAGCTCCCCATTCCAGTCCATCTGGGGTTATCCGCAATTTATGTTCGCCCATCAGTTGGTGGCCTTCCTCCCTTTCCCTGTTCTTTCTCTCCCTCTCACTGGAGGAGATTAAAATGGTCACTCTTCCTTCAAATCCGGGGGTCAAGTCTGGGTTACAGCTGAACGGGGGTTGCCATTGTCCAGGCCATGGGTTGTCTGAGATGATAAACCCACAGTTCACAGCACAAAGACAAAGTGTGGGTTCTCTTTGTGGGTTGTTTAGGGTTAATGACCCATGGATTACTAGTGTCGCTGGGTTCAAACTATGCAAAAAATGACCTATGGCTCAAAGGCAGCCCACACCGGACCCATATGCAACCTCTGCGTGTGTTTATTATTCGTTTAGTCAGCTTGTGTGCTGCCCCATTGGCCACGGGGCTCCTGGGTGGCTCACGACATGGTTAAAGCAATACACTCAGTCTCAACATAAAACAAGACAGCTAATAGATAATAAAATGACCTTGATAAAGCAAATAAAATATACATAATAAAATCAGTATTAAAATCGATCAGTTATCAGGTGGTCTGAATCAGAATGCTACTTAAGTATTACCGAAACGCAAAGCCCTGCCTTCGACGCGTTGTCGGCCAGCAGACAAGTGCGGATGCTCAGCACTTTGATGTTAGCTCTTCCACCAAGCACCCGCTCAGAAATATGCACCCTTCCAGTCACTCTTCCAAGCATCCATTAAAAACCGGCCGTGGCGGATGGGGACAAGGTGAGGGCAAAATGCCGATCTCCAGCAGCCAAGGCAGACACTGGCTCCCCCAGTCCTTGGGCCCATGCACCTGTGAGCATGCCTGGGCCCCATGAGTCTCTTGTGAACACAGAGCTGATCCATATATCATTAACAATACGAGTTCTTTTGTTAGCACATTCTCACGATCACTAACCACTTCCAAAAGGCACAAAATGTGCTGGAAAAACCTGTGTCGACTTACATAATCTGGAGAGAACAGCCGGGGATGGTCAGGATTTTGAGGTGCTTAATGTGGGCCTTGGCAATGTTGCTCTCGAAGTATCGGCAGGGACAGCGGTAAGTCAAGCTGATGGGCTTTCCTAGAGCACAACACAGAGAAAGAGTCAGATCTCCGGAGGGGATACGATTCCTCCCTGCCATGCAAATTACTCCAGGCTTTAATCCCCCTGTTTGTGGGTTTTAGGAGACACAAATGGGGCACAACGCTGGAATCGAAGACATCGAAAGGAACCAGCTAATTGTCTCAAGTGACTGGTAGCAATTAAGCAAGATAAAGGCTAGGACAGAAAAGCAGTTCACTGCCTCAGTGTTATTCCTGCCAAAGAATTTGACCTGGGGCCAAAAGAAAAGGCAGGCTGGGGAAAGAAGAAAGCTTGCAGCAACCCGGAGTGATCTGGACAGGGAGGGAAAAGCTAGCCGGGCCTTTCAGGATGCAGGAATTCATTGCACATCCGTGGAGTAGCCACAGAGTAAGGACGAGGCCGCAGAGGTGCCGCTCGGGGTTGACCCGGTCCTAGTTGTCCTTGCATCTGATGCTAGGTCAAGAAACACGGGCGCCTGCCCCACTTTCAAAACCATTAACTAGCGAGAAGGTGCTCCATTGCAAAGTCATTGCAACCTGAGGCCTGTTTCCTTGATGACCTTAAATGTCCTGCAGCTTCCAGATTCTGCAGTCAAAGATCTCTCACAACTGACTGCAGGCTGAAGAGATTAAGAGCCGCTTGACCCTATCCTCATGCTGAGATCTGTTTCTCACCTAGGACTTCATCTGGCCTGCACAGTTTCAGACGGGTGCCGGACAGCTTTTCCACAAAGCTTCCAGTGCTGACCTAGCGGGGAGAAGGGTTGGGGGCTCGAGGCCGGCTTTCCCTCCCATGCAGGCCCTCCTTCTGGATGCTAAACCAAGCCGCTCCGCTTCTCTGCACCCTCGGATTCCACCTCGTGTCCTGGGTTTCCACAGTTGTGTGGGAACTGTTCTCTCCCCTCCAACGGTGGCACATATCCCATCTGCCCCCGGGGCTGGGAAGCAACTTCTGTGTGCAGCGCCCCTGCCTGCACGGCCGTCTTTGGCTTTCCTTCTTGCTGCTCGGGGAAGTGGCTGCCTACACACTAGAGTAGCACCGTTACTCTAGAGGAGGACTGCGGGGGCGCACCATGCAGGCACACCCGCGCCTCCCTCCTGCCTTGCTCCACATGTGTCCCTGCCCTTCCACAGGGGCAGGGGCTGCTTCCCTGGAACCCAGGCGGCACCTGTGCAGGCGCCCTGGGACGCATCCTGCCAGAAGGAGCCTGTGGGCAGCTGCCTGGGAAGGTGCCTTGGCTGCCGGGAGGGAAGGACTGTGCTCGTTGCACAGCTGGGGGGTGGGGGGCACAGTGGGCCTTGCTGGCAGCCCTCTGGAATGCAGGGAACAAGATAGGAGGTGCCCCACATGCAGCAGGGCACCAAATGGAGGTTGCAGGGTGCACGGAGGCTCCACTGCGTGATAAAGGTGCATAGAATACCAAATCCATCCATCTCGTCCTGCCACGCATCAAATGAGCTTTGAGAGAGCTTTGGCCGCTGAGAGGCATAAGCATACGATGCATGGATGTGAGGAGGTGGGAAAGGTGCGGCGACAGTCCTCCTGTCACGCTATGCTCCTCCGTCTCAGTGCCCGCTCTTGGAAGTCCAGCTAGTATCAGTAGGATTACTTCTGCGTAAACACCAACTGCATGAATTCGGATGTTCAGCCATGACGGTGCTACGCGCAGCGAGCCGGCCGCCAGGGAATGCCGCGGGCGGGCGGGCGGGAGGGAGGCAGCGAGGCCGGTCGCGACGCTTCGGGGAGCGCGGCGCGGCGCAGGCCGGTCACCGAGCGAGTCAGCTTGGCTGGGCGAAGGCTGCACGGAAGGAAGCGCCGTCTTTTGGAAGCAGCTCGCAGGAGGACGCGTTTGGGCAATTCGGGGGCGAGGCAGGGCGGGCGCCAGAGAAAATCTTGCTCGAGAGCGCCCGAGTCTATCCCGGGGCGCGTTCCGCGCGGCGCCCGGGTGCCACTTGCGCGCTTTCCCGGAGTCCCGCCTGGAGGATCGCGCCCTTTCGCTGCTTGGCGGTGGCAGCCACAGCGGCATTTCTCGGAAGGCTCGCCCCCCCCTCCCCCCCTCCCCCCCCCCCCACATTTTCGGAGAGCCTCTGCCCAGATCTTGGAGAAATCCCCCCCGCTCTGAGCAGAGCACAGAGGCGGCCGTTCGCCGTAAGCTTCCGCGCTCCAAAAGTTACGGGCCCGGCCCGGAGAGCCCTCCCGACGACGGGGGAACGCCGAGGGCATCCGCGATGGGGAGGGGCGCCACGAAACGGCAGAGGCCTGGCGCTGGCCGGCGCCGCGACGCCCGCTCCCGGGGGCTCCTCGGGAGGGATGCCTGCGCTTCTTCGCGCGCCGCTGGAATCCGTCCCCGCTTGGCCTGGGCCAGCTCTGCAGAATCAGCCTCGTCTCCCGGTTCAGGGCAGCAGGGGAAACGCCGGGGGAGTGGGTCGCAGCCGCTCCGGCCTCGGGCGAGCCCGCGCTGGGGCCAAGTGGCGTCCCGCGGCACCGCGACGCTCGCGGGAAGGCTGCCCCGCAGCCGAGCGCTTCCCGGGCGCTAGCAAAGACGCGGCGCGGGCGCGTTGGCCGGCTTGCGGCGAAGCCCGAGGCAATTGGCATGGCTGGGCGGCGAGGGGGGCGGGCGACAGGCGCCCGGATGACACCCCACCCACTGCCTTCCTCCCGTTCGCAAGAGCGGCGTCCTCGGGGCAGCTCATGCATATCCCGTCCCTGCTCGCCTGGCGAACCTCACCGCTTCCCCGGCCTGCCTTTCAGCTTGAGCGATGCCCGCGGACCAGGGGGCCTCCTGTGGCGCTTCGCCGGGCACCCTCCGGGGCGGCTCCCCGGCACCAAATCCGCTCCTTGGCCCGCGGACCCAGGGGTGCCCGGCGGGAGCGCCCCCGTCCGGTCCCAGCCCCTCCCGTCCCGTCCCCGGGCAGGCGAGGCGCGAGCCTCCCGCAGCACTCACCCCTGGTGCTGCGGAGGGAGCCCAGCAGGAGCAAGAGCAGGAGGGCGAGGAGGGCGCGCGCTGTCCTGTCCATGGCCGCGACGCGCTCCGGGCCGCCGCCACCTCTGCTGCCGCCGCTGCTGTGCGCGCCGCTCTGTTTGGGCCGTCACTCGCCGCCTCCCTCCCATGTATAGCGGCTGGCGGGGCCGGGGAGGGGAAGGGGAGGGGGCTCGCCGCGGAGGAGGGGGAGAGGAAGGGGGAGGGGAGGGGAAGGGGGGAAGGGAAGGGAAGGGGAAGGGGCAGCCCGCTCTGATGGATGGAGGGCCTGCAGCCTTCCCTCGAGCGGGGCTGGAAGGCGGGCCAGAAGTGACGGGCGCCCCTGCCCTCGGCAGCTTCGGAGGAGCCGGCGAGCGGCGGGGCGGTTCGCCGCGCCGGTCCGAGGGGCCCGCGCCCCTCCTCCCTGCAGCGCCCCCGCCCCGCGCCCGGAGGCCGGCGGTGGCCATTGTCCCTGGATGCCGCTGCCGCTGCCAGAGGGCCTGCCGGGGTTTCCGAGGCCGGGTGACCCCTGCGGGGGCTGCCTCCAGCCGCGGCCGTGCACCCGCCCTGCGCTGCCTCCCGCGCGGAGCGCCGTCGGAGGACGCGCGCTTTTTACGCAGCGCATTTGCTCACCACGTCTTCCGTCTTTCTGCTGGCCACAGAAACCCTGTTGGGGGCGGGGGCGGGGGCTGGGGGAGCCCTGCTGCCCAAGGCCCGAAGCACCCCAGGAGACCCCCTTGGGACGAGCGAGGGGTGCCCGGGAGCGCCTCTGCGGAGAGCCAGGCACGAGCCGCGGAGGACGGCAGAGAGGCGAGCCGTGGCTTCCGAGGGGACGGGGACGGCGGGGAGGGGGCAAGGGAATAGGGAGGGTGGGAAGCGGCGGCTTGCTTCGCTGCAGCTTTGCCCGGGTGGGGGAAAAAGGCCCTCGCCCGTGGACGCTCCGGGTCCTGGCGCATCTCCCTGCCCGGGCCAGGGGGCTTCTGCGCCCGCACTCCACGCCCCGTTGCCTCCCTCGAAGCTGTCCTCTGGAGGCTGCGTGACCTGGCCCCGCCGCCCCCGAAATCCGGGCTCCTCGGCTCTCATTTCCAGCTGTCCCTTTTCACAAACAGGGGCCACGGTAGGGGACAGGATCGCGCGCGCGCGCACACACACACACTTCAAAGCTTGGGACAGTCGCCGCAAACCGCCCATCTAGCACTTCGCGAAAGAGCAGCAGATCACTCGCTGTCTGGTCTTTTTTCGTGAGCGCGTTTGCGCTGCGGGGGGGGGGGGTGTGAGTGAGGAGCCTGGCGCGCTGCCCCCCCGGGGTCAGAACAACCGCGTTGGCTCTGAGATCTGCCGCGCGCCTGGGGCGGGTTGGAGGCGGGGTGAGGTGAGGGGGCTCCCCTGGGTTTGGGGGAAAGGGTCGTTGGCTGCCGCGCCTCGGGAAGCAGAACGGCTCGGGGCTGATCTCGCACATGGAGGCAGCCTCCCCCGTGCCTGGGAAAGGACCCGACAGGTCAGGAAAAGGAGAGCGGCGGGGAAGGAGCGCTGACGAGGGACGTCTTGGGCGTGAGGAGCAAAGGTGGGGTCATTTCTGCCTTGCTGCGTAATGCTCAACATGCGCGCTCTCAAGGAAGCTGCGTCGCGTCCGGTAAACTTCGCTCCCAGGTAAGTTTATGTGGGACCGAAAGATTGATAGGGATGCGCTCTGAGAGAAACCTGGAAACATCACTTCTGCAATTCGAAGAACAAGCAGCCGAAAATAAATGCACACAAACTGTTCCATGCGAAACACACACAAATATTTATATAAATAAAGAGATCAGTCGTCCAATATCTTGACTAGGATTTACTTGGTTCATCTTAAAAGGGTAACCGAACTATGCATTCTTGTATGATGAAGTGGTTGCAAGAAATTTAATACTGCAGCATTTGGTGTTGATTTGAGGATTCCTAGACATTAGAAACATAAAAAATGCCCTGCAATCCCAGAAATTACCGAAATAAAATACTTGGGGCCAGCTCTGTGCTCAGAAAGCAGCGAAGCTCGGACAGGCCCCCTGCTTTGTGCTGCTGCACTTGCTGGTTCTGCAAGAGCAAATGGGGATTTACTAGAAATAAATGGAAGATGTTCAATACAGATTACTCCCCAGGGCTTGCTGCCTGAGACCATGGGCTGCAATGGCCTGGAATACGTCCCCACACTCCCCCTTGCTCGTGTGTAAGTTGTTGGTAAGTGCTGAACGCCCCTGCCCTTCGCTGGTCCCCACTCCTTTCTCTTCCTCTGAAAGACCAAGGAAATGTGGGGTGGCCCTGAGGGAAAGTTTTAAGCAAACACAGTCTAGAAACATAGAAACAGAGTGAGTCGGAAGGGGGCTCCCAGGCCATCTAGTCTGACCCCCGGCTCCAGCTGGCTCTACTTATGACATGCCTACTGTGTGCGTGTCCAGCCTGTCCTTAAACACCCTCACCGATGGGGGCTTCAGCCACCTCCCATGGAAGCCCATTCCACAGCCTCGGGGCCCTGCTTCCTGGCATCCAAATTGAACCTTGGTTCCCTGAGCTTTGCTCCTTTGGAACACATCCTGCCCTCCACTGCAGGGGAAAAAGTCATGACCCGCCTCTGCGTGGCACCCCCTCACGTACCTGCATGTCGCTAACAGGTCCCCTCTGAGCCTCCTGCTCTCAAGGCTGAAAAGACCCGGCTCCCTCTGCCTCTCCTCATAATGGGTTGGTTTACTGAACAGTCCCATCCTGTTAGCAAGCTAGAGCTGTGTCTTCTCTAACATTCAGATTATAGTAACTCTTTGTAATCATGCATATGTAAATGAGGACATATTAACTGGTGCATTCTTTGTTCCATGGGCCTGAGCCGGGCATTTCCTCAGCATCCTGGTATTGCCCTGAGTTTGAACTCCTTGCTCGGTGTGGCTGTCCAGTCAGAAGCATCCTGGGCGGAGGGTGCCCGGTCTTTCCCAGGACACTCTCAGCGACCAAGGGGGAGCCAATGCATGTGTGGGGATGTTGGGGTCAGAACCGCTGCCCAAGGCACGAAGCACCCCAGGACTTTCCCAGTCGTAGGGAGATCAACACCAAAGCTCTTCCGCAGCCCTTGAGGTGCCTCATCCGGTTCGGCTTCCTTGCTATGGAATCCTATCGATTAGTGGTCTGAGTTTGTTAAACTGCGCTATCCTGCAGCACAAGGGAATTCGTGAAGGCATGTCAAAGCAGTTCCACAGTTAGCAGGCCCACGTGCTTTCTTGACCACTTGACAAATGATGCTGAAAAGAGCTCATTCCGCTGCTGCAGCAGGGGTGGCACACGCAGAGGCTGCCTCGCGACTCTCCAGTCAAAAAGGAAAAGAACATCGAGCCAATCAAGCAATGCAAAAGCTCAACTTTTAGATGAGAAGTATTTTCCCACGGGGAAGACAGCCTGATGAATTTGCGTGTGGGGAGAATGGTCCGTAGCACCTTAGACTTGAAATTGGCCTGTGGGGCCCACCAACCCCAGCTTCCTGCTTCTGGCAGCAACCTGGCAGGGCCGGGAAGCTCAGCTGCGGACTCGGGAGAGGCAGCCGGTTCAGATGTGCTCAGCCCATGAGCAAGGGGCCCTGGCTCAGCCTGGGGAATCCAAGCACTGGGATTGGGGGACCTCTGAGCTGGGCTCTGAGGAATTCTGTGGGCAGCCCTTGTGTTACACCCTTAATATGGCAAAACAGCTGCAGTTTGAGGGATGTATGTAAACGGTGTGTCTTCACACTCATTTTAACAGCCAGGCAAGTGTATGTGGGGGGGTGTGGGGTATCGTGCATAACTCACAAACCGCTCTGGATCTTCTCAATCAGGCTTGCAAGCAGCAAAAAGGGTGAGAATCTGACATGGCTTATCTCGCTGTGTGCATCGAGGCGTCGTTAATTTGCACCAGCCGTGGCGGGAGGGCTGCTTCAGGTGAATAAGGGACGAGGTGCCGTGGTTCCACCAAAGGCTGTGCTCCTGCAAATGCATTCCAGCCTGCAAATGCATTCCATAAGTCAAAATGGGCTGGAGAAACAGCACTTTCTCAACTCCCACACATACCTGATGTGTCTATTCTCACGTGGCATAGAATATGCACACTCCCTTAGCAGAAGTGACAAGTTGTTTTCCAAGAATGCTATAAACGGGAGAAAACTTACTGAAAGCAGGCCCTCTGGCCCCTTCCAACTCTACCTTTCTGAGATTCTGTCATTGCTGGAGGTCATGCATCAAATTTTTAATTCCTACAAATGAACATTTTTATCTAATCTGTCTCAAATACGGCACAGTCCAGCCTGAGACAACCTTCCTACACTGCCAGCTCCCTGAATGGCCTGTTATTTCTCTGTATAAGCCACAGTACCTACTGCACCTCGCATTTCTGGTTGTGATGGCAGAAAGTGATTCAGCCAGCTCACCCTTCATGCAGCCAACATCCAAATCGGTCTGAGAGCCCCAACTGGGCCATTTATATTTGCAGTGCTCAAAGCCCTCTCCCTTTGGCTCCAGTTCCACAAAGCCAGGAAATTGGAAATTGGAAGCTGATGTGCCCTGTGATCAGAAATAATGTTGTGCAATGTCAGAAACTCTGTTTGTTTATGAGCTTTTCCTACTGGGTCTCTTGTGCTGCTCCGACTTTTGTTTGTTTTTGCAAGCACACATCCAGATGGGAAGTTTAAAAGGGAATATAAAATAATCTTACACAGTGCAAGTAAAACAAGGGAAGGCCTTTCTAAGGGACCCTGGTAGGCACCTCCAGAGGGCCCAAGAACCAAATGGGCTGCATGTTAACCTGGTCTTCCACTGCCCAATGAAACACCTGAATTTTACTGTAGCACTTCAGGAATCTGTACAGGTGTGGATTTTCTGCGTCTATGAGCTGGTGGCAGAATAGGCTAACCTGCCAAAGGGAACTCTTGTTGGAGCAAGGCTTCCTAAGATGATCCAGGGTCCGGATGATGTGGGACGTCTGGGCCGGGAAAGTGGGTAAGTAGTAAGCAAGTACAGTTGTGACATTTTACAATGCTATCACCGATCGCTTGGCATGTTGCTTAAGGCAACACCT